TCCTGGGCTAACACTTATTTTATAGAAATTCTTCATTGTTTTTCCACATCATATATCCAGAATGCCCCCCAATAATGCTAGTTCTAACTAACCCATGTTCATGAATCTCACTTTTGTATTTCTTTATAGAGGGATTTTATTCATGTTCAATTGATTTCAATAAGATTTCATTAATTTACAAAGGAGCTCAAGTAGTATGTGATGAAGGAAAGAGCGTTCACTATGTTTCTTGGGGTTCTGACTGAGTTTCCTCTTAGTGCCTTTGAACAGAGTCAAGAGACGTCATCTGCTGCAGGGAAAAGGCTTTTCCTATTTACTATGTTGCATGAATGCTTAGGCTACAGAAATAATATATAAATATAATTTCCAGAGTAACATTTCCTCTGTAAATACACTTAAAAGTTTCCATTATCTAAACAAGCATTTACAGGATTTATGTTGTACAAAAGGAAATACATTATCTGTCACTTTAGACATCGTTAGGATATTTGGGGATGTTTTGAAATTACAAAACAAGTGTTTGGGACATAAATACTTGGTAAACGCTCTAGACTATGATGGGGAAAAGGAAAGTTAGGTTTCCAAACTTACATTCTCATTGTGTAGTAAATCATAAAGTATGTTCATGGTTATGTTCTTTTTCTTACAGCATTTCATTGTGATCACACATTGTTTTTTAGGGGAAAAAAGTGGGATCTTGCAGTTCTTCCATAAATTGGTTCTCTAACCAGGTAATTATTTCTCCTTCAAAAATAGCTTTAAAAAAGTTCCAGTTTATGTTATTCATATATATATATCATCGTTAGTTTTTCATTATAAAACAACTATAATTCCCGAAGTTTTTTTAAATGATCATAAATCAGTATAGCTATTAAGCATTAAAGTATTTAATCGCTGTAACTTGAAGCCTTATGTTGGTATTTTGAGTTAGAGCAAGTGAATGGCATTTTATAGGTGTCTTATTGAGTTCCAATTAAACAGCATTTTCTTTCTCACCACTGAAATAAAGTAGTTTCGATGTTTAACTCATGTTCCCAGTGCAGCCAAAAAACAGATGCAAATGACCTCCTCCAAATTGTCCTGAAGGAAGTTTCACTGTCTCCATACAGCGTTTAGTTCTTGGGGTCTAGAGTTGTCCAAGGACTGAACCGAGTGTCTTCCTCTCTCTCCACCTCCCTCTTGGGGGTCCCGGGGATGACAGAATGCTCCTGATGGTTTCTGCTCAGCCCCCACATCCCTGGGGCGTAGGTGTCATGAATGGTCAGAGCTGAGAAGAAACTCCTCACACATTAAACATGTGGCGTTTGGTATACAGTAGGTGCTTGACCAATGTTTGCTAGAACGGAATTAAAATTTGGGCACAAGGCTAAAGTTTCTGAAAAGCCTTCTTCCTGGAGAACGCTTTGTCCTTTTCCATCTCAGTGACTCCGGAAGGCTTTTTTCCTGTGTCTTGCCATCACACTTCTGACTCTTGAGGACCTGAGCTCTGTGGACATTTTTCCCACTCCGTTGTCAAGGGCTAACAAGAGTCCTGCTTCTTATTTGCATCAGAAATAGCATCAAAGCCTTGACATCAAAGGGTGAAATCTCCGAAAGGATTTTCTGGAAGCTTTAGGAGGCTCGCCAAACATTGTTTCAGGTTCCATTCCAGGTGGTGGCTTAGGGTCTGGAGCGTCTTCTGCACCAAGGTGGCTGTGCCATTCAGTAGAGCTTTGGTTCTTCCCGATCACCAGTATTTCGATTTAGTTGTGGGATTTGGGGTTCTCTGCACCTTGTTTTACTTAATTGTTTGTGAAACTATTACATTTGGAGGTAAGCACTACCTCTAGGTTCAAATCCCACTGTATCATCGAGGAATGTGAGTTGAGGGTGAATTGTAACAAATCAACAATGAAGGAAGGGAAGAATTTAGAATTTATTTCCCTCCCTACTCAAGGAGTCAGTGAAATAAAACATCCTCCTCTCATGGAGCACAAGACATAAATCACAGTGCCCAGTTTCTTCGTGGAAAGGAAGCTTCAAGCTGAACACATGATTTCTCACTTAATAACATTAAATTATTGATATTAAATTGGTGATATTAAATGATTAACATTAAGTGATTAACTGTTAAATAGTTATTAGTGAAATGTTATTTGAGAGTAATAACTACCTACCATGTGCCAGGCACTATACTAGATGCTCTACAAAATTCATTCAAGTTTTAGAAGAATCACATAACTACCGTTCGTACACAAGGAAATTGTATCTCAGAGAGGTTAACTAACTTACCTGCAGACACACAGCTAGTAAAAGACCAACTGGATGTCTGTCTTGAAATCCCTGCTCTTGGCAATGGTAGAGTCCTTGCTATACTATTGGGATTTCCATTTCATTGATAACAACACTTAAGTCCAGAGAAGTCCAGTTAAACTCACTCAAAAAATCTAGCAGAGTGTTCAGTAAACGGCAGAGTAGTTTCATCTTGTTGTTACCCTGTCTCTGGTCTTTCAAGAATTCAGTCATTGCTTACTTGCCCTCCGGTCAAAGGCCCTTTTCTCACCACTTTGGTGAAACTGGCCCACCACTGAGAAGGAGAAATGCTGGGATATTTGGTGCTGTTTTAAAGTTAAATAGACCTCTGAAAATCAACCTTAATTTAACTTTGCATTTAAGATGTCCTTGGAAGCCCAAGTCTTTGTGGTAGGCACTGTACACAAAGGGGAAAAAAAATCCAAATTTTTGAGATATTCGATTACTATATTCATTAAGCTTATAAGCACATATATTTTGACACATCTCTTAATGGATTCAAACTAGTTTCAAATTCTCACAGCATTTAGGTTGTTTTATTTTGGAGTCAAGCTAATTTATTTTCTTTCTTTCTTTTTCTTTTTTAAGATTTTATTTATTTGACAGAGAGAGAGAGAGAGAGAGAGACAGTGAGAGAGGGAACACAAGCCAGGGAGTCGGATAGGTAGAAGCTGGCTTCCCACTGAGCAAGGAGCCTGTAAATCCCAGGACCCCGGGATCAGGACCTGAGCGGAAGGCAGATGTTTAACTTAATGAGCCATGCTAATTTATTTTCAAAGAAGGTGGTTTTAGGTACTTTCTGAGATTATGGTATTCTATTGTATGCTTATGACACCAGTGAGTTATCAATCTGTTGCAAATGCTCTTAAATGCTTGATAATTCTTAGGTGTTTTCCAGTAAATTGGCCTGGGGTGGGGATGGGGGGTGGGGTAGTGTGGGAAGTTCCACACTGCTGATGGACAGGGCCACAGTCTCTCTCTCTCTTTTTTTTTTTTTTTTTTTCCACTTCTGCCCTATTTTGGAGAGGAACCTTGCCTAGGTTGGAGGACTTTTCCTCTAGGTAGTCGCAGTGGACAGAATTTTCAGTAGTTCATTTCTGATATTCATCTCAGAAATTCTTTAAAGAGGAAGTTATAGTTCAGTTTTTCAAGCTCACATTTCTTCCCTTTTGGTTCTCCAGGTTATTGGGTTGCTTTGGGGTCTGAAAAAGGAAAATAGAAAACAAAAGGGGGAGTCATTCAAAGTACCCTAGCAAATGAAGCTTTGCTTTCAGGCAGCTGTGGATGCAAAGGCTTTAATATTCAGCATGCATATCCCAGGAGAGGAAACATGGTACATGTTCTAGAAATTTCACTGTTTTTAAGGAGGCGGGCAATTTCCCATTCCACCACATACAACTCAAAACTCGTGCAGGGAGGCAAGCTGCACCTATTGTTTAAAAATATTTTAGACAGAATTCAAATTGCTCTTTCCTCTTTCCAGCGTTGTGCCAAATGACAGGGACCGATATTTCATCTCTTTTTCCTATAAATCTCAGGAAGACACACGAAAGAAGGTTGAAGGGAATCCCTTAAAGGGACTTCGTGCAGTTACTTAAATAATTGATACATACACATACCTATAAATCCCCCCGTGCGCATTTCCCCCCTTTTGACTTGTGTGGGAACAGTAGCTACAGACACCGAAATCCACCTCCTCAGACTGTGACATTTCAGAAGGTCTTTCACCAAGAAGCCAAAACACTTGGGGCCCCGCACAAGCTGCTCCGAGGCCGTCGAGTCACGCAGCTCCTGCACACAGCCTCGCCAAGCGCGCTCAAATAAAAGTTGCCCGGTTCGGAGTTCGGTAAGGTGGAGGCGGCTGTCCAACCATCGAGGAGGCACGACGGATTGCGCGGGCCAAGGACCTGAAGCAGTGGCCGCGATCCGCTCTCTCCTCCACGCCGCCCTACCCACTCCTGTTCGATCTAGGATTTTGTTTGTTTGTTTGTTTGTTTGTTTGTTTTCCAGGGACAGCAGCTACTCGGGCAGCCCTGGGAATGTTGACTGTGTTTCTCCTTGAGACGCGCTCTGATTCCATTTTCCGTAACCCAGCTAGCGAGAAACAAGACTCCCGGGTCCTCTGCACCACCGCTCGCCACCACTCGCCACCACATCGCAGGAGTGGCCAGCGAGCGCGGGACGTGGGAAGGCGGATGAAAAGGTGCCCCACGGACACACCTCCGCTCTTTGGGTAGAGGGTTGCAGCCTTTGTCCGCTCGCCCTTCCGCAGGGGCCACGCACTCCCGCGTCTGGCCGGCAGGTGGCGCGATTGCCTCACGATGAGTTGCTGCCCGAGCGGGAAAGGCTCTTCCACCTCCCCGCGGTCGCCCACCCGCTGGGACCCCGGCTCGGGAGAAAAACCCAGTCCTACCCAGGAGGGAGACAGAGGAGGGGCGGCCTCGGGGTGGGGGTGGAGGAGGAGGCCAAGTCAGGAATCGGGCCCCTTTAAACGTCGGAAGAAAGGCTCCGAGTCGCGTCGGGGGTCGGTCCCGGGGTCGCCCTCAGCGTTACAGTCACCCGGCTGCGCTCAGGTGGCTGCTCCCGCAGCCGGGACATCTGGGGACAGACCAAGGCCCACTGGGGCCTACGTCCCCGGAGATTGACATTGCCACTCTCCGCTCCTGGGTGGGGGCAGCTGCGAGGATTCCCGCCGCTTCTGCTGTCCGCCACCGCGCCCGGGGCGCGGAGAGAGGTCCCCAGCAGCGCTCGGGAGCCGTCGGAGCGCAGAGCTGCAGCAGTCGCGCCGGGCAGCCTCAGAGTCCCCACCTGCGGGGTCTGGGCAGCAGCAGGTACCCCCGCTCCCACCTTACGCCCTTCGCTTCTGCCCCGGCGCCCGGGATTTACCAGGCCTGGTTCCCGGGACGACCCCCGGGGAGCGCGCAGCCTGTTCCCTGCAGCTCAGGCCGGACTTCTCGGGGCGTCCTGTCGCGATGGGAAGTACTGTCCTGGGGCCGGGAAGAGACGCGCTGCCTGAACGCGAGGTGCAACCAGAGGGCTCTTCTCCGTGGCTAGAAAGTCCCTGGTTCCGTCTCTGGAGACGGTAACTGCGCCTTGCCTCCCGCCGGGAGCTGCCCTGGACTTTGGGGACCGATTAGGTCCCTGCTTTTCAGCCAGCAGGGGAGCCGGGGAAGAAAGACATAATCAAACCACAGGACTCCCCCGAAGAGCATTTCATTTGGAGATGCGCCATAAAGACACCAACAGGGCAAGGTAGCTGAGGGTGGCAGAGGCGGTGCGCCAGCCCCTGCGCGAGCCGCGAACGCGTCGACCCTCAGAAAAGAGCAACTGCAGAGATGCAGGTCAACTTTATACTTATTTTATTGCAGTAAAAGAACCTTTTCCTCCATCTCAAAACGCTCGTGGCGGTGGGGGGGGGGGGGGGAGGGGAGAGGGGGTTGCCAGTCTTCTTCGGATGCCCCCCAGTCGATTTCGGTCTTCGAATCTCCTTCCACTGCCCAAGGGCTGGACCCCTGAAGTGAGGTCCGGAGACCGTGCAGTCTCCCTCCGGCGGGGGCGGGAACCCGGCAGAGCTGGGTCTCTGAGGCCCCGGGAGACCGCGCGCCCGGCCGAGCCCTGAGGGGGCGGGGCCTTAGGGCGGGCTATGCTCAGTGGGGCGGGGCTGGGCCGTCCCGTCTGCGCCACTATTGGCCACGGGCCTCGGACTGGCGGGTGAACGTCACGGGCTGGGCCCACCCCCTTGGCAATGTCTTCAGCCTGCTGCACTCCTAACTTAAGCATTTATTCCACTGGGATAGAAGCGGTAGGAGCAGCGTTGGCACCGGCGAACCATGGATGGGATTTTCTATTTCGTCCTCTTTTCGTTTCTTTTTGGGATTTGCGACGCTGTCACCGGTTCCAGGGTGTACCCCGCGAATGAAGGTAAGAGCGAGGTGGTCCTTCTGCGGTCCCGGGCAGAGAGGTGGATCTGCGGGTGAATGGGCCCGGGGAGCGCGAGGCCGGAGGGTATGAGGGGATCCCGTCGTGAGCGGTGCGCCCCGACTCCGGAGAAGGGGGCCTGGACGAGGGGATCCGCGAAGGGGAGTGGGAAGGCTGCCGGGCAGCCTTCCCCAGGCGGTGATCGTGCATTCGGCTCGGCTACCCAAGTTTGTAGCGAAAGGATAAAGTTTAGTAGCATCCGCTGGCGAGCCCAGCTCCAGGAGCCCCAGGGGATACACGAGAGCCAACACCAGAATTAAAAAAAACAAAAAAAACAAAAAACAAAAAACAAAAAACAATTTGGATTTAGCGCTCCCTATCACTGCTCACACCCCGGCTCGGGTCAAGGGGGGAACGAAAGCCTGGAGCTAAGTGAGTGCTTGGTGCTCCCGGGTTCCTGCGAAAGCCTTGGACCTCAGGTTTCTGCGAAGTTTGCCGAGCCTTGGGCTTCCCGGGACCGGGCTGTGGGGCTTCAGCTGCACAGCGGTCGTGGCGCCGCTCGCAGGTCGCCAGTGACCTGGTTTCTGTAGCACCCGGCGTCAGACACCACCTCCCCGCTGGGCCGCGCGCTCCGGGTGTGCGATCGCTGGACTACGGGGCCCCACTCTTTTCAGATCACCCCGCAGACCTGGGGACCCGCTGGCAAGTTAAGCGTAGTAGTTTTTGCTTTTTGCTCCCGGAACTATTCACTGGGTTAGTTTGGATGGAACGCGCTGGACCCGTCTGGACGCTGTTTTCTGCGCGTCTCTTCGGACGTGTTAGAAAGATTGTGTGTCTTTCTGTGTATAGGGGAGGTGGGTGTTGATCATTTAGTTTATAATGGTCTCAGAGAAAGGCGAATTGAATGTGTATGTGTGTGCGTGTGTGTCAGCGTGAGTCTGTGTGTGTACGCGCGCGCGTGTGTGTGGGTGCGCGGGTGCCTGCGTGGACGCGGACGATTGTGTGCCTCTGCGTGAGTGCCCTGATTGTGTTGTGACTGTGTTCGGTGCTGCTTGTGCTCGAATCAGTGTGCATCTAGCATTGCACTCCGTCTTGTCGACTTTCACAGCACCCTCCTCCGCCCTCCC